ATAGTAACAGCTCTACATTGATATTGTACCATATTATGCGATGGTTGTAATCTTATTTTTAAATATTGTTGTCTTATTGTACCACCATTATCACCATCAATCTCTGTATAATCTGATATTGTTTCATCTGAATTCCCAGTGAATATATCACCATCTTTATACCATGATATAACAGCTGCAGGATTACTACTGTCAGTTTCACAGGTTAATGTCAACATATCACCACTCTTTACTACTGTGCTGTATCCACTTAAACTCACTGATGGTGGTTTAACTAAATAAAAAACATAAACATGGATTTTGTGATTATTTCCAATTGCTCTGTAAACTGATGAGCAATGAGAATGTTGCGATAGTTATCAATGAATCACTAATTGTGTATTAATGTTCACAACTAAATAACATACTAAATAGTACAGTAACGTCTAATCAATCTGCATAAAGCTGTCTTCACCAAGTGGTACTAGTCTTTATACTGCTAGTCTATAATATACAATATTACTCGTGACATTATTAAATGTTTATAATAAATGTGCATAATGTTTACTTTTGAGAAGCAATATGTTTGACATCTACTTTGTTAGCCGTTAATTGTGTTTATATTCATCCTAGTTTACAATCCTATAAACAACCAGTCAAATACAATGCAGTATAAACATATAGTTCAACAAGTATGTGATTCTTAAATATAGATACAGTGGTTCAAAAATCTTGAAAAATCATTTATCACAAAGATAAGAAAGGTTTTAAGATAATGTTCTTTTGGTTGTCATCATTATACAACAATAAATAAAATCCGATGTGTTGCATAAATTAGTGTCCTGTTTCTGCTCCAATCAGATAAGGGGTGTTGAATATATCTCAAATTACTACAAATATTTGCTAATCTGTACAATCACTTTATTTGTCATTGTCTAGTTCATGGTCATGCATTCTAAACTACGAGATATTCCTCAAACATATAAAGATGGACACTTTTTGCATTCTATATTTAATGATGAAAACACTCATAAATAAAACGCAGATGAGAGACAAGGTTATACATGCAATAAAATTTCATTTTGTTGCTCCGATCAATGATCTCACTTACAATTCTTTGACAATCGCACAATTCTAATGGAAAAAAAGAATTAATTTTATTTATTTTTTCGCACTCCTCAAAAAAATTGCCTTATAGAAACTCGAGAAACAAGGAATAAAAAAAAGTCTGGCCTAAATAAAAGAAAAGTTATTTTGACCAACTTTTGAGTGTTCATCTTGAAAATTCAAAGTTTAAATTTTCAAAGCATAATTATAATGCTGACATGTACTATTTAACAAGTTAAAAAGTTTAAAGATTATTCAATATATTTGCTTTTTCATGTAATCATGAGCAAGTAATTTGCCTTTTTTGTTCAACCTTGATTCACCCAAATTCTGACATGAGACAATACTTTAATAGAACATAGAAACCCATGAATTACTTGTTCAATACTCCAACATAAACTCCATTTATTGCTGAAAGACTTAATTTTTAAGTATAGGTATTTATTTATAAGTGTATATTTCTGGAAAGACAAGATCAAGAATGAAGCAGTAAGATCAAGAGCGAAAGTGATGGATATCATCGGAAACAATGGACAATGGGCAGGACATGTTGCAAGAATGAATAACGACAAATGGTCCAAGAAAACAACAGAATGGAGACCGAGAGAGGGGATCAGAAAGAAATGATGACCTAAAAAAAAATTGGGGAGATGAAATCGAAGAGAAGGTGGTATCTTGTGGACTCAGTGGCACAGGATCGCCAAGCATGGAAGCTGTTGTGGAGGCCACCCACCAGCAGTGACGTGACAGGCTGAGATGATGATGAAGACTTCTGGTCGTTGTAGAATGTCATAAAAGCACAAACGTTGCACGAATAGATGCCCCTGACCCACAAATTTGACTACAGACTACACCAGTTCAAAACTTCAAAAGTGAAATGCAATATTATGGTGTTTCATGCTAAATTATTCACAGGATATCAGCCAGGGAGGCAAGAACAGAATGTTTTCAATCGATTTCATTGCAAGTTGGAGCAGAATAATTGAGCATAACTTTTATAAATCCATCAGTCATTAAATTGGAACAAATAAAATAGTATTAATAAAGTCTGTAAATATTCATCAATTATAAACATCAAAACACACCTATGGCTTACTAGTATTATGATTTCATTTATTTATTTATTTTTTATTTATTTATTTATTTATTTATTTATTTATTTATTTATTTATTTATTTATTTATTTATTTATTTATTTATTTATTTAATTCATGAATCAATAATATCTACCAAATTAAAAAGTTATACTTACATAAAATAATAACAACGATAATTTGTTTGCGTTCTGTGTGGTAAATCAGGATAGTTTCTAACTGAACTGCATTAGTACATGGCAAACTGCTTTTTTATCTTTTCAAATAGGACAATACAACTACAATTTTATTTTTCTAAATATAGTTCACAGAAATGTCCTAGTTAATTCTACATACAGTAATTCCACATTTATTTAAATTTGGTCAGTGATCCAAATCACGCTCTATCCCCTAAAATGACCTATAAGCAATCATTCTCAAAATATAAAAAGATTGTAAAGACTTTCAACTCCATTGATTATCCTTGATCTAAAAATAACTAAAGGGTGAATATAATCCTTACTGCAAATACCACAATATAAACAAATACATAGTACTTACAATATACAGTAAGTTCAATGACAATAGATGTCACAGGTCCTGTGAAGTCTGAATGACTTGATTGACATTGATATGATTTACTGTTATGTTCTGCTTGTATGGATATTGTCATCTGTTGTTCACTTATTTCACCATTATAATCTCCATCTCTTGTAACATCAGATGTAATAGATTCATATGTATTAGCAGTCCATACATTGTTATCTTTTAACCATGATATCTGAGATGCTGGATTACTGGTTGATGTGGTACAAGTCAGTATTTTAGTTTCACCTTCCTTCACAGGATTGGTTATGCCAGACAATGTCACACTCTCTGATGGAACTGTAAAACAAATATGAACTTAATGATCTAACAATATAAACGATCATACATGTTAACTTGACATGTTAATTGTGTAGTTTGTACACAATTAGTAGCTTGACATGAATACATTACTTAATTATCATTTCTATTTAGATTCCATATATAAGATTTACTTACAGTAGACATTGAATGGTCCTAGTTGACACGTTAATGGTGTAGTTTGTACAACATTAGTAGCTTTACATGTATACATTACTTGATTATCATTTATATTTAGATTCCATATATAAGATATACTTACAGTAGATATTGAATGGTCCAAGTTGACATGTTAATGGTGTAGTTTGTACAATATTTGTTGCTTCACACATGTATGTTACTCCATTATCATTTCTTTTCAGATTCCATGTGTAATCCAGTGTAACTGTGTTGACATCTGTAGATGGTGATAAACTTTGAATCTGATTGTTACCATGATACCAGTGTAATGTCGCTAATGGACTACCATCTGTTGATCTGCATCTTATTCCCATTTCATCATCCAATAGATACGAAAAGGATGTTGTAGTCTGGTAAGTGCATACTGGATTGCCCGGGGCATCTAAATATCAATATAAAGTTGGGGACAGTTAACATTATTCTTTAATATTATTTATTTTCAATACCACTAAATGAGTGAAACATTAGCATTTAGTATAGTTTGGGTGTAACGTATATAGAAATGTAGGGCAAGATTTAACATGTTATAAAATCATCATATTTACTTACATCTTATTTCGATTGTTATATCTTCCTCTTCACTTCCTTTAACGTTAGACACGTGACATGTAAATATTTTACCATTGTCATCTTTGTGACTAGGATGGATAGTTAATCTACTGTTGTCACTATTTAATTGATATCTAGGTAATACTGGTAGTGGTTGATTATCTTTTTGCCAGGTATAACTTGGTGTTGGACTGCCACTACTTGATGTACATTTCAATCTGATTCTATCACCTGCATTTGATGGATTATTACCATCAGTGATACTTATAGTAGGCTTATTTGGTGGGCTTGCCTCTGTATGGAAATAATGAAATGTATTATGCATAACTTGTAACTGGGGATATAGTATAATATCAAAATATACTCGTGTATATATATACCAGTTACATGATGTTAAAGCATTTGGCAATGAGCTTCATAGTATAGAAGTCACCTGATAGCATGAAGAAAATCAACAATTTTCATCATCTGAAATTTAAGCTGTCCAATTAGACAATTATGTTCTAGCATATCAACAACAATTTATTTGTGTCGCAATACAATCAAAGACCATATCGCAATTCCAAATGATATTTACTGTGAGATAGTTTATGACTGAATCAAACAAATCCGTCAATGTGTGTCTCCTGTAGTAATCTTACATAAGTATCCCAAAATGCACTATAATTTGAAATTACGATATATCTTTTACATTTTGCCAAAACAGACATTGGAGACTCACACATGTTAAATTTTCTGGCAGTCAAAGTCATTAGTTCAATGTAGAGCTGGCAATTGATTAAAAAAGAGCATATAAATGCTGACATTTTTGTCACGCATTAATGTACAAGAACAGAAGGGCTTGTGACATTCTGAATGGCTTGTTTAGTGTGTTTTCAGTCTGTGCATTAACTTAAAGCATCCATATACCAAATGATTGGTTCTTGAGATATTGGTGGGACATACACACACATATATACTAACATTCATAAGTACACACATCAAACTTCAACGCAATGATTGTGTGCCTTGCACTAAAGGACATATATACATATGCTTAAAATGTGCTAATCAATATGCACATTAGGTTATTAATATGCATGGATTATTAACCCAAATCTAATCAGGTCTGTGAATAGTCATAGAGCATCTATGTACCAAGTTCCATTGAAAAGTAAAGATTATTACTTGAAATATCAGCGAAAAAGTCGAAAATTTACAAATCATTATGCAAATTTGGTAATTAATATGCATGGATAAGCACCCAAAACTAATCAGGTCTGCCCATTGTCTCAGAACATCTATGTACCAAGTTTCATCAAAAACCAATGAGTGGTTCTTTAGATTCAGCTAAAAATATGCTAATTATCATGCAATTTAAATTAGATAATTAATTTGCATGGATTCATACTAAAACCTAATCTAATCTGCGCATTAGCTCAGTGCATTTATGCATCAAGTTTCATTAAAAACCAGCATATGGTTCTTGAGATATCATTGGAATAGATGGACATACACACACATAGACACATTAACTGCAAAGACTCCCATTGGGTGCTTTGCACACAGGGGTCAAAAAGTGCAGCAACAACATGAGCCAGATTTGGTACTAGAAAGGAAAGGTCATTTATGGTGCTTGAGCACATTTTGCAGTTAATGGCGGGAAACAACGTCCAAGATTTTACGTTCAAGAGGGAGCAGCAACTAGTTACAATGGCCCAGAAAAAAATTGCAGGTGATTCCTTAGAGATTGACTCTAAACTGCTTTTTCAGTGTTTGATATCAGTTGCACCAAATGTGACTGATAATGTTGAAGAAATATTCAAGTATGAGCTCTGTAATTACCCATCATCCTTATTTGACCATTGTGGTCCACACGACAACTTGCTGATGCTATTTAGACAATTGGTAGGGGAATTTATATGCCTATATCAGAAGAGGCAGACATGCATTACGTGCTTGATGGTGGATCACTAATCCAACGCATTCCATGGAAGTGAGAGCAAATCTTTGAATCCATCTGCACAAGTTATGTACATTACATGCATCAAAAGTATACAACGCCACTATTGTCTTTGGGTGTGGATATGGAGCTGGACCTTCTGCTAAAGATAGTGCACATGTGTGTCGTTCAAAGGGCATTGTGGGTGCTCAAGTGAGCTTTGTTGGAAGCATGCCAATTAAGACCAAGAAGGACCTTCTTATCAAACTGCCAAAACAAGCAGAGGTCCATAAACATGCTCAGTGCAAAATTGCAGGAAAATGGCTTAAAAACAATCCATGCAGAAGAGGATGTCACCAAATATGCCACTACTCTCAGAAGGAGAAAATACAAATATGTTAGTCCTACTGTGTGCCCATGCAAATGTAAATACTTTCGCTATTATTTTCAGAACAGAAAATAGACAGAGATTAAAGAAATCAAACATCAAAGAGTATGGAATATAAATTGGCTTAAGAATGTACTAGGACCTGAGATGTGCCAGTTGTTGCCATTTGTCCATGCTATTTCTGGATGCGATACAACGTCACGGTTAGTTGGCATTGGAAAAGATGTAGCACTACAAAAATTAAAAAGTGATACTGATTACAAAAAGCAGGCTTATGTATTTACTAGAGAATCGACCACGGAAGAAATCTATGTTGCTGGTGAGAGAGCTCTGTGTTCTTTGTATGGTGGTGATCCAGGAGAGCGGTTTGTACTCCGGCATTTTGTAATAACTGACGCGTTTTGTAATAAGGGTAGCAGCGGTTAGTAATAAAATCACTGACGCGTTTTGTAACATAGGGGTAGCAGCGTTTTGTAATAATATTCATCAATTGAACAATCCCTAACTACAAACATCGTTGTATTATTACAGACGTGACTGCAACTCAAAATAAATGAATTAATTAATTAATTAATACCACGTGAAGGCGGTTTGTCGAAAATTGTCTCGATATCGGGTTGTGTGTTGTTCATTATATCGCCAATTCGTCACAGTTTTTTTAACCTATCATAATCTAGTACGACTCGAGTTCAATTAACTGTTTGTTATCAAATTGTTTGTTTATAAAAGATTTTTCCACTTTCAGAAAATTTGTTTTGTGGTTGTTGTTGAACAAGTTTGGTTCGTTTTGACACGTTTGGGTTCAGCAGTCCAATGTGCATGTTTATTTGATTGAATTTGGAATATTTGGATCTGAGGCGCTGACATATTGTTATTATGTGTTTTATTATGATGATCTCTCACCTGGATGTTTTTCGCTATTATAGGATTTGCTAATTTTCACCATTTCTATGTATTATTATGAAAATATCGGGCTTCACAAGGCTTCATTAAGAAACCTTTAAGGGGTCTTGAAAATCCTGGATTTTAAGAACACTTGACTGATGTTCAATACTTTTAAGAACCCTCGCCAAAATAAAAAAAAACAATCCAGTTGTTTAACCGTACTATATACACTTGGAATTCCAATAACACAAAGCATCATAATATTATAAGTTTTGATATAACTGTTGTTGGGAATATGTATAGTCATCACCAATATATTTAAATGGATCGGTCTGGCACGCAATCAAGTTATTTATATTATATACAATAATTACATTAAAGCAGATGACACTTTACCGTGATATCACTAGCATGAAGCTCACAATTGATTTAAATGGACTTGAAGGTCGGGTGGGTGAGGCCGCAGAAATGTTTAGCACATAATCATTGAAAAAGCAACAGTTCAATAAAATGCAGATCGTGTGCGATGAAATATAACCGGCATGCACTCTGAAATGCATATATAGTTACAATATTAGATAAGATGTCTTAAGCTTTTGGATTTCCTTTTTTTGGTTTTGTTCTTTAACGCATGCAGTAAACTAATAATTTAAGTTGAAGGCAGTTTTTTTTCTCGGTTCTTATATGAGTTTATACTCCTTTACATAGATTCTTCATGAATTTATTTTATTCAAGAATGTTATTTGTAGATGTATGTGCATTATATCTTCTATATGTATATGCAGTTACACGTATACAGAGTCTTGTTGATTGCACAGTCGCAATTAACTAGAATCAGGTCCAAAGTGTGTCTATATATCTGTAAACCCACCCTATCGAGTGAGTGTTTCTATGACTCATTAACTGGTCACGCCTATTATTCCCGAAGGTTTGAGACTCGCCCACAAAATGGAGACAACAAATATTTGACGTGGACTATGCACTAATAATGAGCTATACACATTTCTTCTGTTAGTACGAAATACAGACTGTCGGATATAAACTCCAACATAAAAAGGTACCGCGTGTGTCCGCTCAATATACGCGCATGTTTATCACACGCATGGTCATAGTATGACGTCATACATGGGCAGATCAAAAATAATGTGACGTCACTAAACGACAATTTGGATGATTTTATGTAAAATGTTATGCGAAAACCGCGAAAGGAAACCCCAATCGAGTACCGATACTTGTAATTACCGGCACTGCACATCGATCTCCGATGCGGCTCGGATTCTAACAGAACTCTGGCAGTGATCACACGTGTCTGCTGACGTCAAATAAATTGGAGATTATACCTAAATATATTTACAACGTTTTTCTGCTATGGAAAGTATGTTTTGTTTTCAATATATGCGTATTTTAACAGACACAGCTTTGTGAAGAACGTTGTTCTATGTATAATCGCCAGATTCTTACATCTTACTATCTTACTTGAGTTGCATTGTCAATATACATCTACGGATAATATTGCCCTTTGCGCGCGTTAAGCAATTATAGGAATTTTAACGGTAGTAGTAGTAGTAGTGATTTTTAATAAGCAGTTTGACAAGGACAAGTAACGTAAATGAAAGCAATAAAACGTACAACGTTAAGCTTTGGAACCCTGCAAGTAGGCCAGTCTCACTGGTTCTCACCACAAGGAGTTACGATCCCCCCTACCAGTCCCAAAACAGAAATAAAACACACAACAAAGTTTAAAAACTACGTGATAATACTACCAGTTGATTTATTCGTGATGAAAAGTGGACATGATTTAAAATGACAGTAGGCGGGTTCAGTGTGTGAAAAAACAATACTTTATTTGAGATTTGACAGTCACCCGTGACACGACGTGGCGGAGCGTACTCAGGCCACCCAACGTAGCTAACTGGAAGCTTGGTGTTTATAGAAACCGACCAAAACTTGAAGTGAAAATAGTAGTAGTAGTAGTAGTAGTAGTAGTAGTAGTACAACATGTGAGTATTCAATGATCCTCTATAAGCACTCATTATACGTTATTGAGTCATATTAGTTGTTAATAATTCCAAAGAGCAGTTATATTTACAACTAAAATTTGTGATAGGCGACGGCATTTGCGTTATGACGATGATTATTCGCGGTCAACCAATGATTCGGAAACCATTATTTTCCGTGCGTTTCCGAATTAAGCCGAACGCGTCATAATGCCACTCGGCAAAACATGATTCAACCAGAGGCGTAAACGAAATTACGATGAAAAACATATAAAAAAATGCATTTTACAAATTGGTCTACTGTGCCGGTCGCAGGTGTGACGGCATACACACTTCAAATACTGCAGCCCGGAGTTCCCGCCAAATAAAATACGCCTGAGACGAGCTAGTAAGGGACGACAGACCATTCAATATTTAAGGGGAAGCCCCACTATTAAAGATTTACTGAATTAGTCGCATATGTATAGAAGAATATTGTCTTCAATTTACTCTCTGTTGCTCGGCTATGGCTTTCTGCATGTCGCTTTCAGTGAATAGATTCTGCTGGGAAAATCCCACTCTCTACGAAAGTGTGTGTACTTGTAAGTCACAAATAATAACCAATCATCGTACAGTGTAGAAATAACTGACAGACGCGTCAAGCCAATCAAAACTAATAACTGTATCTTTGACAATAAGTTGTATCAAGTGAAGGGAAATTCGGGCAGTCTTTGATGTCTGTGTGACGAAGACGACAGGCACGGTAGACCAAATTGTAAAATTTCAAAAAATGGCGAGAAACCTGTATAAACAAACATCTCAGTTTGAATTTTAGTACTTTGAATATCAAAAGCTGAACATTGATTAATTATGCAAATTAGGTAATTAATAGTTCGCGTCTCTGTCTGTGCATTGTGCTATGTATCTATTTAAGTGTCATTCAAATGTGATGATTAGTAACTGAGGTATCAGTAGAAAAGACAAAAAAATTACTAATCATTATGCAAATTAGGTTAATTATATGCATGGATTTATACCTAAAACTAATCAAATCTGTGCATTAGTCTTGAGCATCTATGTAACAGGTTTCATTAAAAACCAATATACGGTTCTTGAGATATCCGTGGACACACAAACAATACAGAAAGATAGGTAACTGCAAAGACTCCCAGTGTGTGCTTCGCACACGGGAATCAATTAGAAAAATATCTGGGTTCTCTATTGGACATTATATTTTACGAGTAGGTTAATGAAGTAAATCCAGCGATTAATTTTATTGGTCAAAACACAAAACTAACATATGCAATCAATTGTATAGTGACTGGTAGTCCACAGTCGACCGTCTAACATTAGTTGTAAGTGATAATAATTCCCGCAGTCAACTGAATCAGCTAAATATCATTTTTGCACTACGAACGTAGGGCAAAATGGATTAACGGTCTCACAAAATTAGTTGCCGTTTGTGGCTCAAACGATTCGCTCAAGATCTTAAAGTTATACTCGTGCCGTACGATTCGGTAGGGTGTTCGGTGTTAATGGACGCTTCTATTTTTCGCTAAGAACAAGCTCTATAAAGTCAAAAAACGGGCACGCTATAACGCGTTCGCTCAATGTATTTATACCTACGATATACTAATAAAACATCCACTGGCACTGGCACTGGCATCAATTTTTGCACAGACGCTCTCGATATATCGTGCAATTAAGTGCTGAGTGAGTTTAAAATAATTCAGTTGAAGAATTTCGATATAATGCCACGAGCGGAAGGACTGACTTACGGGGCGGACGCATACCCCACTTCGTAACACTAGCCTCAGGAGAGAAACATAGCCGTATCTGTAACGTAATTGTCAATGATTGATATAAACACAATAATAATGTAAATAATTTGAGAACTGGCCTTAAACTGTTTTAGTACCACTTTAAATTCGACCACTGGCGCAAGCACTGGAGATACGATCTTACTGCTTTTTCAAACCTATTTCATGTGTAATAAATTCAGTTTTCAATCATATTAGTTGCCGTATTTAAATTATACAATTACTTATTTCAAGTAACATCTTTCTAAACATATATCAAAAAGTACTGATGATATCTCAATACATGAATATTATTACAAAATGCTGCTACCCCTATTACAAAACGCATCGGTATTTTTTTTATTACAAAACGTTGCTACCCTTATTACAAAATACATTTATTTAAAACATCACCATGTTTACGTCATTACGTGTTATGCTAGAGTGTAATTTGGTGTGAGTGAATACTTAATGGTGGCGCTTTTCTGTTTCCGGTATGATCTATTCAAAATGGCGGCCATTTTGGAAAATTGACATCATTTATCAAGACACTCATCCTATACTTGTGTAAATAATGTTTCACCACTTGCACATAACTGTACTCACATCAATATTTATTTATAATGCAAAGCTATATACATATCCTGGTGTAAATTTGCCTAATGTTGCGGCCATTTTGAATATATGCGAATTAGCAATTTTCCACTGCCTACATTTTTGATATGAAGTTTATGGGAGGTTGGATGGCTATTTTATGCAAACAGACATTCTGTTGCAGTTTGTTCTAGGTCATGGCATATATTGACTGGACTGGTTCGTTAAAAGCCATTCTGGAAATAAGCGTAACAATTATTCAGGTCAATGAAAAATACATGTGAATAGACTTCAGAAATTGCGATGATGGCATAAGGCCACTTTATCTGGATAACTCCAAAAAAGTCATCAGAAGATTTGTCAGGTGTGAATAAGCAGAAACATTCTTTGAGAACATTTCATTTTGAAAATCAAAACAAAAAAATCGGAAAACTTCATGTGCTGGGAGTAATACAGGGTTATTTAAAATTAATTCTAAATTTGTTTGTTTTGAAAAAGAAGCTTTGCGATTTGAGATAAATAACATGGAAATAATGTGATCCACGGTACAGTATTGAAGTTTATATTACTCACAGAAGGTTAATTTGATTGTAGATCTCTAGTTTTCGATCTGATATATTCCACATAATTTCCATCACAGGTTCCATTTAAATATCATTTTGATGAGATATCAGAAATTGACATTAATTAAGATATTTGTAGAAAAATGTCTACTTATCATGTAAATTAGGGAATTAATATGTATATTTTTGTCGATCTATAGCATATATGTAGCAAATTTATTTAAAAGTGATTATTAGTAATTTTGACAAATTTATTAAATAATTAAAGTTCATGTATTTTGACCCAAACTAACGAAGTCTCCACATCATTCCAGTGGGGTGGGGTGAACCGGAGATCTTTATTCGGAGTCGTGACATCAGATAAGTACAAAAGTTGCATTTGGGCGTTGGGCCAACGGCCAAGCCCAGAGAGCAAACAAGTGGACCAGGTCCAGCGTGTCTTCCTGAATCTATATCTGTATCTCCCTAAATCTAAAGTAACATGACTTTTTATAAGCTAAATCACGTGATCCAAATTGAATACCTTTTATGATAGGAAAGTGATTCAATACACCCGCATAAGTTTCCCGAAATACATTGAATAAAATCAATAAATAAAAATACGCTTGATATTGTTCCAATACAAGCGCCAACCGTGGGAATCCTGACCAAGTCCATGACGGGCGTCTGTATGAGCGATATGACACATGACTCACCAAGTAGGCAATTTTTATGATTAAACTCTTGAAATCATGTATCACTTATCAACTATGACAAAATACACAATTAATTCTTTTAAATATTATCGTATTGCAAATAACACTAGCTTTAATTATGAGAACTGATTTCTTAAATATTTTGTGCAACACACTTGGCAATCCATGATTAGAAAGCTTGTATTTTCTTCAATATACAATATACGATATACCTTGAGAGTATTTTCTGTAATACATATTGCGTGTTTTACTACTTTATTACTGACTCTTTCCGGACTTCTAAGCTGGTTGTACAGGTCAACAAGACTGGTCTTGGAGAATAAGTTGAGATAGAGCTCATAACTCAGCCCGGATGAATTACTGAATACAACGTTCATTTAAGGATGAGACCCAGGTTCGTAGCATATTTTTGGACTTTTTTTGCATATTTTCAAATGTTGCAAGGTTGTTTTCACACTAGTAAAACAAAATAGTTAATTTTATAATTAGAAAAGTGCTAAATATTAATAAAAGTGCGACGATAAACAGCTACGCGTGTCATTTTTTTCTACGGGCTTAACGACGAAGCTAATTAAAATACATTGACAGACAATTATGCAAGTCCCTGCCTCCTCCTCGTTGAAAGTTCTCCGACTGCTCCACTCAGTCATAACATCAACAACATGGGCTGCCGCTGGTGCTAACACGTTCATATCGTAAAAAGTTCGTCGTAAAAAGAGAAAACCTGGTCCGCCTAAAAAAAAGCACGAATGCAGAGGTACAGTTCGACCTAAAATGATCTGATGCTGGTTCATATTGCGACAAAGATAATTTCATGATTTCTAACTCGGGCTCTGATCAGTGACACGATGACGCTTTGGACCACAGTCACTCTTTGTTAAAGGACTGTGTTTAATTAATATTACACGAATCGACGTCTTTTCTGAGTACAAATCATTTTGTGTAATATATTCGTAGTTTAGACAGCTTACGTGGGTGGTGCTGCGGCAACAACAACTGTTTTACTTTCAACGGACGCGACCAACCGGACGCGACAGGACTGAAGAATAGATAGAACTTCCAGATCGATCTCTATTCTATTTCTATTTCTGTTATCACGCTGACAAGACTAACATGGCTCATGACCTAATCCCACGTATTCATTACACTTTGCGTTTATTTTTGTGATAAGATTAAATCGTTGTCCTCCCATGTTTGCTCAGTAAAAGAGTGACGCCATTTTACCGAGTGGTTTCCGAAACTTCGTTGCATTTTCCCCAAAAATATCCTTCGCTGTATGATTATTTTCGTCAATCGGGACGTCAAAGACACGAGTATTATCCAAGCAAATTATCATGAAAAAAAATTATCGTTTCAAATAGGTTTCCAGTCGAGTAGAAAGACAAGAAATTACGTTTTCGAGCCTTTCATTTTGGCACTACGTGCAATACTTTAATAGACGTTTGAGAGACACAGGATCAATGGAACAGTTAATATTTTTCACAGAAGATTCTCATCTAGATACCAATAACTGTACGTATCGCATTATTCGATGAACTTATTGAAAAAGGAAGAAATCTTGAGTAGAATACAAACAAACGGTAATTTATTCATAAATTTAAAGGTTTTCACTTTTGAGTCTCATTTCAAGAAAACAAAGGCTCGCATTGTACTGTACGGACACGGTCCGATTCTCAGTTTGCTGATCAGTATATAACAGTAGACAGGATGTCTGCAACTTCAGTATGTTTTCCGTACGTCTGTTTTGAGTGAAACACTCAAAAAAGCCTATTTTCGAGGGAAACACGCATACACTTCACACGTTTAAGAACAAAATTACATTTCACACAATTCACAAACAGAGCTAACTAAACATATATAACATGTAGGTAGTCAAATGCCATCTTCACTGTGAAATAGAGGTTTGAATATAAGCGCCCACGAACCTGGGTCTCATCCTTAATTTTAACCTATACTAAGCACGTTCCACTGGTAATTTTATTGAATTAATATTATAATTACATAATATATTTTTATGTGAATGATACCCAGATATAATATTTATATATTCACAGAGAATACAAACCTGTTACAGTTAATGAGATAGATTTCGCATCAGCACCATCACCACCAGCGTATACTTCACACCAATATGTGCCAGCATCGCTCAACTGTGTGTCAGTTATAACTAAACTAGATTGGTCTTGAATTCCATGTCTTGTGAATCCAGGACGTGGAAAAACGTGTCCACCTCCAGCTTGTATAACTATAGTACCTGTAGCTACACTACCCCCTTTATACCATGTAATCTCTATATCACTACCAGTTGAAGTGAATGTACATTCCAGGACTGTCGTTGTAGTCTCAATCGTAGTTAGTGCTGCTGGTAGAGTAACAGTCACTGCAACAGAACCTGTACATGAAAAATCACTAATAATTAGAACATATTAACTATATACATGACTTGCACTGTATATGTAAGGGTGGGCTAATCATATTATAGGGCGTGGATATCATTTGATATTAATCACTTTTTTAGAATGTAGAAAATGATATAGAAGTTACTCATAATTATTTATTACTGAAACAATTTAGAGTAATTCAAAAGCATGTGTAATGTAGAGTTTGCACCATATGCAGCAACACAGATACATGTATTGAAATTATCCATGCTAGTAATTTAAGTTGAATGATATAGAACTTAATGATAATATAACAATAAATCTCCCAATCAGCCTGATTAGATTATTTGGATGTCTAGAAATCATGACTGCACATCTATCCCTATTTTGCTGATCGGTTTAGCCCTAATTAATGCCAGCACTGTTTCATACGGTAAAACAAGCAGTTGTAGTTAATATTAAACACTGAAATTATTGAATAATACGTTAAAGTACCCCATATATTGATAACATGTACACAAAATGGCACATGTAGTTAGCAAAATCAAAGAAAATGCTTACAAAAACCAAAAAATGCTGATTCGTCATTCAAAAAAGGATAAAATAAAAAAAAAACAATCAGAATGTCACAGCCCCTCTGCTCTCGAACACTGATCAATATATAAAAAATGGAATGTCTGTATTTACAAGCTGCTTGTTAATCAAGTTCACATGTACCAGTTCTACACTAATCTAATGACTTTGACTGCCAGACAATTTAACTGGTGCGAGTCTCTAATGTCTGTGTTGGTGAAATGTCGAACATAATTCCGAATAATAATTCATTGTGGGATATATATGCCAGACTGCGAGAGCATACATACTTTTAGATAGACAGGGATGTGTTTTATTCGGTCATCTATCACACAATATACTATGATTTGGGATTGTCATAATGTCTATGGTTGCAAGTCAATCATCTTGTATTGTATTGTATTGTGACAACAATCGATAAGAACATATCACTTATACCATTAACATCATTCAAATACACCTAGAGACTGAACACACATCCAGGATTTACAGACATTCTCAGTAATCATAACGACTGTTTGAAAGAAGCAATCTTTTTAATCCAAAGTTATGCTTAAATGTCAGCAAACCAACAAAAACATTGCATCCTTTATATAATCAAGGTTGTGTACGTTGAAAATACTTTTTCCCATGCATTCTGATTGTCGTGGTGAGTGATTTTGCAGAGCACCACGAATCAATGTATCATGCTCAAGTGTCGTTCGTATATCTAAACCTGGTTACCATCTTTCATTTTAAACACCCAAAGCCATAATTTATAAATGAGATTGAAGAAGTATGTTGTGACATTTATGTTAAGTGTGGTTTAAGTTTATGGGTTAAAATAAATTGGGTGAAAATTATATGCCTGTTCTCGGTACCAATTTACCAATTCCAAAAACTTCATATATATATATATATATATATAATAATTTTAAATCAATCAGCTTGATGATAAAAAGAATACTGGCATTCACTAGAATAAGAATTAATCTGATCGAAAACAAATCAAACCAATCTGACAGTGATTAATGTACATATAAAATATCAAAACAATCGGACAGTTAATAAGATTTAATGATATTGTCACAAAAACAAACAAATCTTAAAAGGCCAACCCACCCAAGGCTGACAGTTTTCAAGAAAAAGACGAAAATATCATTTTATTACATAAAATGACATAAGTATTTGGTAAAAATACATAATTAATGGTATTTTCCCGAAATGTAAAAAAAAAATACATAGACCCATTCTGGATAATTTTCGTGAAGAAATCGACAATAACATGTGTTGTCAGAAATGATAAACTTTTTCGCTAAAAAATAGAGATTTCCATTGAAACGCCGGAAATAAACACATCAGTAAAACTATTAAAAAAATCAATATCAGCGAAGTGGTATAACGAGACGAGCGCACATTATTTACAAAGCAACAAACACACTATTGCAGTGAAAGATGTTTTCTCTAGAATGTATGAACCGCTTCTGTCTATTTGTACATCAATGCACAGGTATGTGTTCTGAAAAACCCAAAACAAACTCATAAACGCTGAACATAGACTGTGTACGTTTTAGTGTTCTCAAATATGTCACATAATTCATTGCGATACAGATTAACTAAATTGAATGTGATAGTAACAGTAACCGGAAAATGACATTTTGCCGTCGAGGGCGCTGTAAACTCCGGTAGAGAAGGTATAATACGAGGGCGCTGTAAACCACAGTAGAGAAGGTCTAATGATTCAAAGAAGCAAATAGTTTGTTACAAGCTTTATAATGTTGATTATTCATACAATTATACATGTCCATTATCGGCTCTATTTATGTACATTATTTGCATATTTATAACACGTATTTAGAACAAATGAATGTTTACTGAAGGAGTAAATGTATTGATATTTATAGTACTGAATGTTAAACTAGAAGTTATGCGGGTGTAAAATATTGGATTACGGCTATTTGCAATTTTTGCCCACTGGAAACAATTTTTAAAAGAATGAGATTACATGTAAAAAGACACGAAAATTACAGTCTGATGACTATATTTACCATGTAAACACCTGGTGACTGACCCATTCAAGTGGCCAAAATACACTATCTATGATATAGGGGTCAAGATTTATTTCTATTTGTCTAAAGATAGGTCACTGATATTACTGGATAGTTGAGTTCTAGTGGATCAACACATTTCCATAAGCTGTCAACATTTAAGCTTATACAAGGTCCTGGACGGAACTTGACTCAGTGAGTGGAACAAATGGCGGATATAAATGTCAACTATGGAATGTTATTTTAGACCTCGTGGCGCCCATGAGTATAAACTAACGGTTTCAATGTAGAAGTCATTTCCCAATTTGGGGGGCAATTAATCAAATATATATCATGGCGTGTTAAATATTGTGTCTGATTGGCTATATGAGTAGAATGTGTGGAGGCCACGTCTCGAGCTCTTGAACTTCCATGTAAGGTGCGATTGTTTTGGAAAGGCAAATAAAGGAGTCTCTGGCAGTTGAGATGAGAAGTTGACACGATTCCATTCTCCGTGTGTTTTGTTGGGTCGAAAAGGTAGCGAACGTAACGAACCCTGGTACCTCAGATGAAAATTTAACACGATAATTAACCCATCACATCGGTAACGAATGAAATACAGCCAGACAAGTTAGATTCGAATCCTCTTTTAGCCAGTTGATGACTCCTTAGTCTGCTTTTCTATCGACATTCGTTATGTATAATCGTTTGTCTTAGTAAACAGAAAGCATATTGAGTTGTTCATGAATAGAAGCAATGTGAACCCTGTGTCCTGCAACCACTCGGTCTGCAGTAAAATAACTTTTATTGACTGTTTAGAATGTGTTCCTTTTTCAAATCCACAATCCCATATAACTAGTTTCTATTGGTTGAAATACACAACAATTTTGACTGTAACACGGCAATCGGCCTCCGTTTACTAGTGGCACATTGGATTTGAGTAATGTCCCTTTAAAAAATGACAAATCTATAATATCACATAGGATTGTGCAATTATATCCGCAGCATAATTAATTAGTTAAGCTCAAATATAGTCATAACCGATGGCATATTATGTCTAGTCCTTGAGTAAATTTTAAAATGGCAAAATATAATATACGTTAAATATGTTACACTAAACCATATGAACATCTTTTGGATTATTTCATGAAAGATTCCACTATAAGACTAATATCTGTATAACAGAAACTTGAAAAAAATATCTTGAATAAACAACAAATAAAAGAAATAATTAATGAATCACTCAATGAGTGTACATCTTAATACAAATAAATTATATGCATTGAATACTTTGTTGTAAACCAAGTTAGTTAATTAGTTAATGTTGAGCTTGTATGCTCAAGAATTTGCAGACATGAACATAGCAAAAACAATATGTTGAATAACGAATTCCGCTTTTAAGTCACAATTTTTAATTCTTTTCAAATCTTCCTACAAAATTTCAAAATATTTTTTTTTAATATGCTATTTATATAACTCTCTTCGAATAGTCCATTCAATTTATGGTTTGACCCATCGCAAATTGCAACAGAAATAATTTCTACACAATACATTCTGAGGAGGTGCCTAGATTGACATACTAAAAGTCTAGGAAAATCTAGGCTTCCGAAATATACATAATTTGCATATATTCAAAATGGCTATTTGGTGCATTTTTACATCATGGAAAATATGACTATTGGACATTTCTTTAATTCTAGATGACATTTTTTAGATATTCAAGTTGCTGCGATATGGTTTGGTGTGTGTTTGGTGTGAGTGTATGTGATTGTGAAACATTTGATTGAATAACAACCATTTTCATAAATCCAATATGGCTGTCAAAATAGTATCATTTAAATGAGCAACCTCGGAGTCTGTGCCTCGTAATGACTCCGTGAGCCACACCGCGGGGTGCCGGGGGATCATCGATCCTATTGACCCCATGTTCAGCCCCCACCCACCCCCACACAGAGCCAGCAGAGTCTGGAGTCAAATCTCGTGCCTGATCGAATCCTTTGGTTTCTATCCCGAACCTGGTACTACGATTTTTTTGGTTAGGTGGGAGGGGGGGGGGCGTGTTTATGAAATATTTCGGGCAGTTAGTCGGAAACAATTCATGCAACTTCGAGTTGTGGCCAGCCCACTGGAACAAATTGTTTTGCGTCGCCACCACCATGAAGTCTCAATGGCGGAACACACCAGCCTCCTAGACCAGCAGACACAGCCATTGGTGGGACACCTCGTGGCTAAGTGGGATAGCTCACAGTGTCATCTGGCTCTTGTGGCAGGGGCTGCCTCTGTACAGCGGAATGCCGTTTTGGCTGTTTTCACTGGGTGCACCACCGCCTCAGTTACACAGGCTGGATCTCCCCCACCCTCTTCTTTTTTGAGGATTGAAGGAGCAGTCTCGGTGCTTTGGGATCCCACTGACCAGTTGGTACAGGTGAGACCCTCGAGCCAGTTTGGCTTCTGCCAAGGGCAAGCGGTAAGGACAACAAGCTGAAAAAATGTGACGACCAAAGTTCGCATCCACTGGCCAGAAATAGCCAGAAGGAAAGCGTGCTGCCACTTCCGGGGAGGGAAGAGTGGCGATGCGCCCCAAGGAAGAAGAAACCAGGTAGTGGCTTCCTCAGTGGTCGCCTACCAAGCTCGCAGGAGAAGTAGGTTTGATGCTTCAGCTTGCGACAGGAGGGTGGGCACATGTTTGGCAGTAGCTAACAAGCCTATCGACTTCTACAGGCCATGCAGGGTCTCACCTCGGCAGAGAGAGATCACCCCGATGTGGAACTGCCGGACCCACACATTTCTGTCGCACTGATTGCGCCGATGTATTCCAGATCAGAGGCAGCGCATAACAGATCCCTTGACTCTCCAGGTGGCGATAAACGGTTACAAATCTCCACCCCCCCCCCCACAAAGCAGGAGCAATCAGACAGGAGGTAGATACTTTGCGTACAAAGGGCGCTATACACAGGATAGGGGACCCCACATTAAGTCTGGGATTCTACTTGCAAGTATTGGTGGTTCCAAATACTACAACTGTGACTACAGTTGGCTGTGCCCCGTTCCGTTCTGGACTGGACTGGCTGCTACACAACCCAACAAGTGAAGGTTAGTCAAACAGTAGGGCTAATACCAGATGCTCTAGACCAGTTGTGCTTCCTAGTAAATCGAGCAAGTCCAACCTCAGCCAAAACAACATTTGGTGCTCCTGGCCAGGGAGTTTGACACAAAGGTGAGCTTGGTATGGTCGCCACAGGCCCGTTGCCTAAACGACCTAGCCGAATGCCTAGTCAGCATTCCCTCTGTGTCCCTCTGAGAACTAATGCGAATCATCGGAATGATGTTAGCTGCATGTTACTGCTCACTTTTGTTGCCACACCAGGTTTTCTTACTGGCACTGGAGAGGCGAGTACCACTCTCAAACCAAACGCTAGTGTTTTGCAATTGCCAACCTCAGACAGGGGGTTCTCTTGGACCCACTTACCACAGTTATGACTCTGGAAACGGATGCCTCCCTC